CACTAGAGTATTTATTATTTGTTTTTTATTTTTGAGGTTCTGACTGGATGGAATAGGATTCAATCCTTCCTATTGGATGAAAAAGTTTGCAAATCTGGGACCTTTTTTAACACCGAACTTTACTTTAGATTTTTTGGACACATTTTTTGGGGGATTTCTGAGATTTTATATGACACTTTAGGGTCTAATTGTATTGTTATATCACAAAGAGGTTATATTATATGATTATTGCACTTTCTAGGGAGAAAGTATGACTTTTTGAGGGGCTAGAATTGGAGGAGGTTATATATTTATTAGTTCATTTTAACCACTTGCCGCCCTGCCACTGCATAAATACGTGTGCAGGGCAGCACTGAGGAGCAAAAGCACATTTTAAAATGGGCTCCGCGCTCCTGACATTTTCGCGGGCAGGGGGCGCGCGCGCGCGCTCTCCGCCAACCCGTGGGTGACACCATTTGATCCCGGAGGGACCAATCATTCGATTTCAGCCAGTGACATACAAATTGTGAGTAAAACAGCACATACCCACAGTTAGAACACTCTAGGACACATTTAACCCCCTGATCGCCCCCCCCCAGTTAACCCCTTCACTGCCCTGTCACCAGTGTCACTGATCAGTGAACCGATTTTTACTGATCACTATCAGTGTCGCTGGCGACTTCCGATAGTGTTAGCGCCCCTCCCAGATAGTGCCAGATTGCCCGCCAGTACACCAGTAATCCTGTTTAACCCCTTGATCGCCCCCCCCAGTTAACCCCTTCACTCCCCTGTCACCAGTGTCACTGATCAGTGAACCGATTTTTACTGATCACTGTATCGGTGTCACTGGCGACTTCCGATAGTGTTAGCTCCCCTCCCAGATAGCGCCAGTTTGCCCGCCAGTACACCAGTAATCCCATTTAACCCCTTGATCGATCGAGGGCGTAATTTCTTTTGGGTACAGCATTGCATGACCGCGCAATTATCATTTGAATTAGTGCAGCGCTGTATAGTAAAAAAAGGCATAAATTACAATATCTATAACATAGTTAGTAGACGCTATAACTTTCACACAAAACAATCAATATACACTTATTGGGATTTTTTTTTACCAAAAACATGTAGCAGAATACATTTTGGCTTAAATTTATGACTAACTTTGAGTTTACGATATATTTTTTATAGCTGAAAGTAGAAAATATTGTTTTTTTTTTCAAAATTTTTGGTTTTTTTTGTTTATAGCGCAAAAAATAAAAAGTGCACAGGTGATAAAATACCACCAAAAGAAAGCTCTATTTGTGTGAAAAAAAAGGACGTAAATTTCGTTTGAGTACAGCATTGCATGACCGCGCAATTATCATTTGAATTAGTGCAGCGCTGTATAGCAAAAAAAGGCATAAATTACAGTATCTATACCATAGTTTGTAGACGCTATAACTTTCACACAAAGCAATCAATATACACTTATTGGGATTTTTTTTACCAAAAACATGCAGCAGAATACATTTTGGCTTAAATTTATGACTAACTTTGAGTTTACTAAATATTTTTTATAGCTGAAAGTAGAAAATATTGTTTTTTTTCAAAATGTTTGTGGGTTTTTTTGTTTATAGCGCAAAAAATAAAGAGCGCACAGGTGATAAAATACCAGCAAAAGAAAGCTCTATTTGTGTGAAAAAAAGGACGTAAATTTTGTTTGGGTAAAGCATTGCATGACCGCGCAATTATCAGTTGAATTAGTGCAGCGCCGAGTAGCAAAAAAAGGCGTGGTCATTAAGGGGGGTAAATCCTCTGGAGGTCAAGTGGTTAAAGTCCAAGATAACAGCTAGAAGGACCAGTTGGGCAATGAACAACTGAATTTATGATGCAGTCAATAGATTTTTTTTTTTTTGCATTTACCAAATATAACAGAAAACGTCCAATGGTGCATTTAATAGAGAAAAAGTTAGAAAAAGAGTGTATGGTATTGTAAGGGTTTGCACACACTTTAATACACATTATTCTTACAATGGTGGTTTGACTTACTGACATCAACATGTTAAGTTTGTTTTGCAGTCAGTAAAATATCAAGAGACAATGTCCCTGTGTAGCAGAAATAACAAGCCTATGACAACACGGATAAATGGCACAGACTCCCAGTGACTCCATATATTTCATTCTAGGTTTATATAAGTAGAGATGCATTGCCTTAAAAAAAAAATCAACAAATACTAGACAGACGTTTCTGTGTGCTGGCTGATTTTTTTTTTTTTAAGACTTTTAGTTTACAAATTTTAAAAAGAATTCCTTACCAGTTACTGATATAATCATTGGAAGAATATCTATGAAAGATCTATAAAAAAAACATGATTTTAAAAAATTGGAAGCACTGTGTCTATTTCATAAGCTATTTTGTCAGTATTACTTTGCAGATTATTCTGAATGGATTTTCACAATATTTTGATCCTATCGCTACTCATAGAATGTGATGTTTGATCCTAGCTAATGTGGTGAAATGATATTTTTGCTTCTGTTGTGGCATGATCAATACATAATAGTTACCCATTATTCTCAAGCCATGATTGTCTCCGGCAAAGTGATATCTAATTGGGGTATTGCCCTTTAACCATTCATGTTTCTATTTGTTTTATCTTATAAAACATGCTAGAAAAAGAGGGGATATTTGATTTTTGTTTTTTTTTTGTTTTTTTTTTTTAAATTTGAAAATTCGTTATTCAGTTTTCAAAATGGGTATAAACAGGGTGCAATAGACAGGTTCATATTCATACAATATATCAATACAGTACAGGTTATTGAGGTTCCACCTCTATGGGTGTAGATGTAGGTGGTTTACATGTGATTGTCAGACATTACTCAATCATTGGAGTGTATTGTTGAACCTTAGGAGGGGGAAGAGGAGGTTACAAACAGGGAGTGGGGAAAGGGAAGAAGTGGGGTAATAACAGGAAAGGGTTTAAGAATCTAAACCTAGTGGGTTTTAGGGAGAGGTAAGTGTATACCAGTCTAGTTTTGATAGTAATTTGGGCTCATGTGAACTGCAGCTGATAAACTCACTGCTGTTCACCATTTCTTTTAGCAGCCCCTGAACTCTCCCTAATGTTTTCCTATGTGTCCATGTACACATCTTCGTTTACATTCATTTACAGGCATTTGAGTTTACAGTAGTTTTTTTGAACACACCAAACTTGCGTTCAGCAGTCGATTTTATCAGCGTTTCAAACGCAAAACACTTGTAAACGCGGCATATCGTGTTTATAAGCATTTGCGTTTAATTTTTTTTTTTAACTCTTCTAGTTCCCGATGCTGTCCAGAGCCTTTTTTCATCATGAAAAATACATGCAAAGCGTTTTCAAGATACTCACATGGAAAAAACACTGAACACAGGATGTTCCTACCAAGCTTGTCACACATTGTAATGACCATTCACACCTCAGACCTCTCCCACCCTTGGAAACAAAAGATATGTTAATGACCATTCACACCTCAAATTCATCATGAAGACCCCCTGCCAGGTGACCTTAATGACCTCCTCCACCAGACACCTTTCCCACCCTTGGAAACAAAAGATATGTTAATGACCATTCACACCTCAAATTCATCATGAAGACCCCCTGCCAGGTGACCTTAATGACCTCCTCCACCAGACACCTTTCCCACCCTTGGAAACAAAAGAAATGTTAATAACCATTCACACCTCAAATTCCTCATGATGACCCCCTGCCAGGTGGCCTTAATGACTCACTCCACCAGACACCTTTCCCAGCTTTGGAAATAAAAGAAATGTTAATGAGCAACTCACGCCTAAGCTAATCCCAACACATACTGCTGTCTCTGCTTCTACTCTCTGTATTTCTCTGAAACAGTCTGAAATAGTTAATAATTTACCACTTTTCAGTGCATTCTGGGCATTTGGGAGGATCTCCTGTGCTTATCTTTAAAAAATGCTTCTAAACTCAAATAAACATAAATGCTGTATGTAAACGCAGCTAAGCAGACGTTTTTTAACCTACGTTTTCCAGCAGTCAGTTTCCATCGCTCAGAAGTGTCCCATGTACATGGGGCCTTTAAGCTCTATAGTTTTGAGCTATCAAAATTGAACTGTACATTTCGGGTGATTTGAGCATAGTGACCAGGTGGATTTAAATTTCGGATATGAGAGATTGTTAAAGGCGAATCTTTTTCCCATTTCACATTGGAAGTTTAGGTCATTAGTCAGCATAGTAAGGAATGGTGATGTAGTGGAGTTCCACAGTCTAGTGATATTGTTTTTGGCTCTAAAGAGTATGTGGATTATGCACAGGGGCGGACTGACCATTTGGAAACTCGGGCACTGCCCAAGGGCCCAGGGTCAGTAGGGGGCCCCATGAGATGCCCTTGGTACCTTTTTCATAGGCTTTTTTGAGTTTGGGCAAGGACACAGGGGCCCCATGATCCCCTATTTCCTGGGGGCCCCATGAGTTGTCAGTCCGCCCCTGATTATGCACATAATCAACATTTTCAATACCAATATGTAGTAGTGCTAGTGGTTTTTTTTTTCACATTGGAAGTTTAGGTCATTAGTCAGCATAGTAAGGAATGGTGATGTAGTGGAGTTCCACAGTCTAGTGATATTGTTTTTGGCTCTAAAGAGTATGTGGATTATGCACAGGGGCGGACTGACCATTTGGAAACTCGGGCACTGCCCAAGGGCCCAGGGTCAGTAGGGGGCCCCATGAGATGCCCTTGGTACCTTTTTCATAGGCTTTTTTGAGTTTGGGCAAGGACACAGGGGCCCCATGATCCCCTATTGCCCGGGGGCCCCATGAGTTGTCAGTCCGCCCCTGATTATGCACATAATCAACATTTTCAATACCAATATGTAGCAGTGCTAGTGGTTTTTTTTTTTTTTTTTACTTGTATCTTCCTCCCTTAATTTGTCCTCCGTTCCTCCTTTGCTTCCTTCCTTCAGATATTAAGTTCAGATAATTGATATAAGTTGTACAAAGCTGGTATGTAAGATTCTACTCTTCTGCCTTCAGCATATGGATCAGAGAAATTTCACTAGAATTACCACAATCCAACTCTTAGGATTTCAAATCCCTGAAAATATAAAATGTTTGGTGTTTTTTCTTTTCCTGATACTTTATTGTGTGACAATATGTGGAAACCTCCTGATCATCACACTGGTGTCCTACAGCAAAGCCCTCCATTCCCCCATGTACTTCTTCCTTTCTCAGCTCTCTGTATTGGATATCTTTCTAATAACGGATATTCTTCCTAACATGATCGGCACTGTTTGGGTAAACAAAACTATCATGACATTTTCTGAATGCATCACTCAATTTTATTTTTTTACAGTCACAGAATCTTCAGAATGTTGTCTTCTGACAGTGATGAGTTGGGACAGATATTTGGCCATTTGCAAGCCATTGCATTATGCTTTGAAAATGAACTACCAGGTTTGCTGCATTCTGGTTCTCTTATGCTGGATTTTAGGTATCTTTGTAGCTTTTGTTTACATGTTGGCTACATCTAAATTACAATTCTGCGGCCCCAATGTTATTGACCACTTTTTTTGTGACCTTGAACCAATCCTACAACTCTCCTGTTCTGACATCACAGCTGTTAAATTTCAATTGACAATTTTTGTTTTTATACTTGTTGTCATCCCATTTTTAATCATCATTCTATCCTATGCTTATATTTTATCCACCATTTTTAAAATCTCATCTATTACCGGTAGGCAGAAAACGTTCTCGACATGCATCTCCCACCTGACTGTGGTTTGTTTTTATTATGGTACCGTATTTTGTGTATATTTGATACCTAATAGAGGACAGAGAAGGGAGATTACTAAGCTTGTATCATTACTGTACACTGTAGCCCCTCCATTGATAAATCCAATTATATACAGCCTGAGGAACAAGGAACTGAAAAATGCTTTAAACAAACTCATTCAAATCTGTTTAGCCTATAGGTTTTATTGAACATTTTCAATTAATTGACAACAATATTACAAACGTGACATGTTTATGTAAAACTCTATACAAGTAAAGTTTTCATGAGAGAGTCAATAAATAAGTCATAGTGACATAATCATCTCCAGTATTGTCTGTGATTTTTTTACTTGTGGGTATTTGGTCCTGCTATCCATTCTTCCATGATTGTTTGAGTCTTTCTCTTGGTAGGATGTCTTTTAATGTGGATTTCAGAAACTTTCTAAAAAAAAAATTAAAAATACATACTGTAAATATGGAGAAGGTAGGGAAAAGGCAACAACTTACAGGGATTTCCACAACTGAGAGTTTACTGTTTGCAGAGGCAAGCAATCATATCAATTATATTAATCAAATCAAATAATCAATGGTATCCATGCCCAATTAGAAGGTAAAGTGGCCATAGATGAGGAGATTTTTCTTTACTGCAGCCACGGGTTGCAGGAAAGAAAACTGCTTGATTCCCCATCAGCACAGTGTGGATGAGGGATCCCTCCCGTGGAGCTACTTCTGTGGGGGGGGTCGAGGTACAGGGAGAACACACAAAGAGTAGCCCCCTCAGCCCACGCACCCCCGACTTCTCCATCAAGACCAACAACACCACCATCAGTCCCACCCCGTAATCCAGAGTACTAGGTGTCATCCTAGACTCCAATCTGTCCTTCCAGCCCCAGGTCCAATCTCTGACAAACTCATGTAGACCTCACCTCCACAACATCTCCAAAATATGTCCGTTCCTGACCCTGAACACCACTAAGCAACTCATTCACTCCCTTATCATATCACTTGACTACTGTAACTCCCTCCTCATCGGTTTACCTCACCACAGGCTATCCCTGCTTCAGTCTATCCTGAATTCTGCGGCCAGACTCATCCACATTACTAACCACTCCGTATCTGCCATCCCTCTCTGCCAATCCCTCCACTGGCTTCCGACTGCCCAACTGATAAAATTCAAAATGCTAACATTGACGTACAAAGCTGTTCATAACACTGCCCCAAACTACATCACCAATCTGGTATCCAAATACCACCCAAAACGCACTCTCCGCTCCTCACAAGATCTCCTGCTCTCTAGTTCCCTGGTCTCCTCCTCCCATGCCTGTCTCCAGGACTTCTCCAGGGCTTCCCCCATCCTCTGGAACTCCCTACCCCAATCTATAAGACTATGACCTACTCTCCTCACCTTTAGATGCACTCTGAAAACCTATCTTTTGAGGGAAGCCTACCCCGACCTCAGCTAATTACCGATCTCCTCCACTCTTCCTACCACTCCATCCCCCACAGCTATTTCCTCCTGTACCCCTATTCCCCCCCTCCTAGATTGTAAGCTCCAAGGAGCAGAGCCCTCGAACTCCTCGTATATTGAATTGTATTGTTACTGCACTGTCTCGTGTATTGTCTCCCATTATAATGTACAGTGCTGAGCAAACTGTTGGCGCTATATAAATCCTGTATAATAATAATAATAATAATAATAAGAGTATTTCTACAGCCACTGGCAATACTCACGTGGAAAATCCAAGTTGCTGGCTATACCCAAGTTGATTGATTGAGTAGCTTAGGTATAATCAACCTGCCCATATATGGTTCAAATCTCAGCTGGCCCCTACTGAATCGGCAGAGATTTGAACCGTTTTGGCTGGCTTAAGTAATATTTGTCTCGAAGTTCCCATATTCTAAACAATTAGGTATGGTATTAGAAAGTTATGAAGTCATTTTTTTAATTTACAGTTGTTTAAAATATGCATGTCTTTACATATGCGGACTGTTGAGTGGTTTTTTTTCATGTCTTGGCAATGAGTTGTGTGGTTGCAGTAAACATACACACAGGGATAGCGAACATTGGCAGGTTAGGCAGCTGCCTTAGAGTGTCAGAAGGGGGGGGGGGGGGGGCGCTAAAGCAGTCGGTCCCTGCTTATACTGGCTCTGGCCCTATCTATACCTTTACCTAGCAGGGTACAGTAACAAGTTCCATGCATGGTGATGTGAATACTCTGAAGTTCAGCCACTGCACTGCCTCCATACTTCCACCTGCTCTCCTGGCCCTTATCTTCTCTGACGGATGAAGGGCAGGCAAAGGAATCCAAACACCCATCTCCACCCGCTGCTCTCCCTCCAGCCCCCCACAATGAATTACCTCCCACCTGGGTGAAGTAGAAGCACCAATCCAGGTCCAGCATGGAGACGATCACTTGTTAGATGAGGGTGAGGAGCTGAATGAGACCAGGGGGAGAGGCCAACAGGCACAGGAGCTTGAATGACATGGAGGGATCCCTCAGCCTCAGTGGAAAGTACAGCAAAGTGCTGTATTCATTATTTGATCTATCTGACTGTCTGCACTTATTATACAGCACACTGACATGTACTGTACTTCATGGTGACAGAGCAGGAGAGATGAACACATGAGGACATATATGGGGACAGAGAAGAGGACATAGGAACAGAGCAAGGGACATAAAGTAATGGGGACATAGAGGCAGTCAGAGAAGAGTATATGGGGATAGAACAAAGGAGATGGAGACAAAACAGAAGACATGGTAAGATGTGGACAGAGCAAAGGAGATGGGAACAGAGTAGTGGACATAGGGAGATGGAGACAGGCAGAGCAGGGGAGATGGGGCAGTTAGAGTAGGAAACATAGGGATAGTTACAGTCTAGGTTGCCAGTTGTCTATAAATGTCCATGAACAGGAGAAGAAATTTTCCAGCTTTTCCCCATCTCTGTTCCATGCTTGCGCAGTTCTGGAGCTGACCATTTATTAGGCAACTGGGCTCAGCCTGACTTGGGAAATGGGGAAGGTACTGGAGGGTGCGCTTAACGTCAATGTACTTGACATCTGTTTCAAAGTAGTTTGAAGAAGATGGGCGGGAGGGGGAGAAAGAACCAACAGCCTGCCTGAGCCTGAGCCAGCCTGCAGTACCCAACAGAGGGCGGGAAGTTGCGATGTGGAGAGGAAGGGGTGGCAGGAGGAAGGGGGGACACCAAAATGCCAAAATGCACCTTCCCCTGTGTAGACAAAAATTCTTGCACTGGCCTTGCATACACAAACTGAGCATTTTATTAGGAACACTATACTAACATTAAGTTGTATCATCAAAACAACCTAAATTCTTTGCGGCATTTATTTAATATGCCACACACCTTCCTTTAACCCCTTCATGACCAGGGGCAGACTGACAACTCATGGGGCCCCCGGGCAATAGGGGATCATGGGGCCCCTGTGTCCTTGCCCAAACTCAAAAAAAGCCTATGAAAAAGGTACCAGGGGCATCTCATGGGGCCCCCTACTGACCACGGGCCCTCAGGAACTGCCCGAGTTTCCAAATGGTCAGTCCACCCCTGTTCACGACTAAGGGTAAAACAAATCTAAATGCCTAAGCACAATTTTGCAACGTTGACATGTGTTAGTAAAACCGTACATATCATCACAGCTACTTTGTACATCCAGGTGGATTATACCTTGATTTTTTCAGGACAAATTGGGCTTTCATTTGGTGGTAAATGGTAATGGAAATCTGATTTTTTTTATTATCAAAGGAAAACTGGCCCAAAATAGTAAAAAAAAATCATTGTTTTTATTTAGCTATGTGTTTTTTGTTACTACCATAACCTACCTCCATAGAACAACCCAAAATAAATTCTACAGCTCTTGATGGTCACAGCGATACCATATATGTGTATGTTATTTGTTGTTTGCACCCGTAGTACAGCCCAGAAGCAATAGTGTGCATTTTGCCCAGTTCTGTGAGGCCGCATATTTGTGTGACGTTGGCGCAAAGGGGTTAAGTTGTAGACATAACTGCATCTATCAGGGAATTTCAATTAGTCAGCTGGCTTGGAAACAAGCAAAAGCACATAACCTATGCATGGACATTAGCCAGGAATGTGTGCATGCACAAGGATATGCATCACAGCTGTGAGGACATGCATGCACACCAAGAGTCAGAATTGGCCCCAGTAGCCTATTTAAGGGATGATGTACCACAGCGTCAGTTCCGACTGGCCTTCAGCATATTCCTTGCTCCCTGACTTGTGTTCTGCATATGATTCCTGCTATTGACCCAGATTTCTCCTGACCTGATTTTGAATCTTGCTCTGTACTTCTGTTCAGCCCATTCCTGACCACAGCTTCATCCCTGAACTTTATCTAGCTCCGGATTTTGTACTTCATTGCTCGATCATTATTGTCCTCGGCTTGATCTGTGAATTTGCTTCTGCTTCTGCTCCACATCATTATCGAATGCTTGCTTGCCCTACGCAGGGGTGTATTTACCACAAGGCAAACAAGGCATTTGCCTAGTGCGGCATTTTTTCGGGGGGGGGGGGGGGGCAGCAGCATTTTTCATGGGGGCAGCACTGTCCCCTGAAAGAAGGAAAGGAAGAAGGGACACTCGCAGCACGGGGACAAGTTGGGATCTGAGAGAGGCTCAGGGCTGCTTGATGGTGTATGCAGAGCCTGACTTTTGTTCCGAGGGATGTCTGGAGCTGTGAAGGTGAGTGTCTTATCTCTTGTCAGGGTGGCGGTGGGGGTTGCCAGTGTATGG